GCCAGACGGGGACCGGCCACCCGCCTTCCTGGCCTTTTCAGAGTGAACGGCGTTCGTTTAATTATGAGATGTCTTTCCTCAGGCGTGCGCTGGCGATGCGCACAGGACACGAGGAGAGGCCCGCCCCAGCCCCAGGGACGGGGGTGGGCGCCGGGAACCGGTCACCAGCAGCCACGCCGCGCACTTGCATCCGGGCCCGTTCCTGTAACGGGAGCCAGTTCCCTATCGTCAGCCCACGTCCCGAATCCGCCGGGTGACGACTCGGCTGGGCTGTTCCGACGCGTGCAAAACGGTGAACAGCTGTGAGCGTCAGCGACGGACGCGCAGCGGCAAAGCCGAACCCCTGGCCCGCGGCTGCTCGGCTCCGTCTTATTTTTCTGGGCCCTTGTCCGGCGTAGTGATTACGAGCAGTGGACAAGGTCGAAGGGCCCCGGACGCCCTCGCACAAAGCCAGCCCCGCGGCCGCGTCTGCCCTCATGGTTAGCTGTCCACTCGAGAGACACCCGACGTTAAGGAAAAGCGTTTTGAAGACCGAATCGGCCGCGATATTAACATTGTGCCCTGAAGAAATCACGGTCCCTCCTCCAACACTTCGTGGGCTTTCAGTGTGTCACAGGCGGACACGGGTTCTCAGATATACCCACGCACACCCACGCACACCCACGCACACCCACCAGCCCCGGCTCGGGGGGCAGGCGCACATGCAGGGACCAGGTCTTGGTCAGGCACCCACGTCCACTGGAGGGTGGGCACCCTCTCCGCATGTCCACCCTGAGACCTCTGTCAGCCCCCCGTATCCACTCACGCCAAGCGTCACCAGCTCAGGTCACTCCCAGAGGCAGGACGGGCCTGCTCTCTGCCAACCCCCAGCGGCTGCCCGAAGCCACTTCCCTGCTCATGGCACCCACTCTGGGGACAGCTGGACACGGGGGGAGGATGGGAGGCATGGGGACAGAGTCCTGCTGGGCGCCCGCACCTCCTGTCCCCGGTTTGACTGGCGCTGACTTGTTCGTATCGTCCGGCCAATGCCTGCCACGCCGTCCGTCTGGCCCGTGGGCACGTCTGGTCCGAGCCCGCGCAGGGCAGGCCCGTGCTTTGGGGACGCCACGGGAGGGCAGGAACCGCTCAGGGACCACCAGCTGGCCTCCCTGCAGATGGCCGAGACCTGCGAGGCCACACAGGGAACACGCCCCAGGGAATGAGGACGATCCCGGTGCCAGGGGTGTGGCCTCGCCCACCCTCCCTCGGTCCCCGTGTGGGGACCAAGCACGTTTAAGGGGCTCAGACAAGAAAGCGTGAATGGTGGGAGGCTCTCTTTGGAGAGGATCACGGAATATCAAACGCGTGTTTCGGTCCCGAAGGGTGCTTTCGCATGCCACGGTACTAAGTTCTGTGACGATGCTGACAAGCGCATCCAGCCCGAAGTCCGGGGCGACGGGCCCTGGGAGGCGGGGTGTTCAGGACGCCGTCCCAGCATTTCTGTGGCTGCTTTTTGCGAGGCGGGCTCAGGTGCACCCCAAGGCGGGCGTCACTCAGCTCCCAGCAAAACGACTCTGCGTCTTCGCTTTGCTCTGGAAAACACCCTTCAGAAAATCGGTCACGAACAGATGAGCTTCGTCTGTGACACATGACGGATTCTGAAACCACGAACCTTGGCAGGCGTCAGCCGATCTCGAATCTCGTCTGCGAGAGGCTGCTGGACATCACCCTGGTTCCTGTAAACTACGGCCGCCTGCGCCGTCACGATGACCTCATCCAGAGGACGTGAAATCACGCTGCCAGATCACTTGAATTTCCAAATTTACAGCCAGAAATATAAACAGACCAATAAGCAAACTTGGGTGGTAGGAGGGAGGAACGAGTGGACGTAAACATCATTATTTATTTTGATTTAGAATTAAGTCATCCTCAGACATACGTAACTGAGATGCGTTTCCGCTGTCTCGGCTTGTGCTGCTCTGCAATCTCTCCGTCCTGTTCCGTCGTCTCAGTTTCGATCTGTTCCTCGTTTCTTCTTTTAATATTTCGTGAGACATCATTTATGCCGTCAGCCGACGTGATTTGCACTTCCGCGTCTGAGGGGACCTTCTCGCTTGTTGAGGAGATGCTTTTCGTCTGTGACGCGGGAGTAGATTTTCATGTCTGTGGGGGACGCCAGGCCTTGGTAGGGGAGGGTTTTAAATGACAAAACACGGTGACAGCAACACAGACTGCGAGGCCCCTCCCTTCAGCAGCGAGAGGCGTGACAAGGACAGGTGTAGGTGTGACTCTCCTCAGACGCCGTCACCTTCGGGAGCAATTAGCTACGTTAACACCAGCTGCAGCGCTGCGGGTCCTTCCCCGGGGTGGACGCTCAGCCGCGGGCGTGCCGGGGACGGGCGTTCGGGTGCTGCGCGCGCGTCTGTGCGCGTGCGAGGGGGCGCGCTGGTGCCGGGGCCGGCGTCAGGCTGCTGGGGCCTCGGACGTCGCCGGCTGCGTAGGGTTTCCTGGTTCAAGCTGAAGACGGGCTGCGCCGAGGCTGGAGAGGTTGGGGGTGAGCCCAAGGCCCCCCACATCGCACCCCTCCTCCCCTCGCCTCTCGCCCTCCACGAGGCGACCGTGGCAGCACGGGGCTCAGACACCCCCACTTCAGGGCCCGCCCATGGTGCCCCGACTGCCACTGCCCTGTCAAACGTCGCTTGAGTAACTTACACTTTGTCCCATTGGGGCTGGTTCCCCGTCGGCCCCCACCCCCACTCCGGTCACCTCCCTCCTCTAGGCTTTGTTCACGCCGACCCTCCCGGGATGAGCCGATGCAGACGTCGGGGTCTGTGCAGACGCCACCCGCCTACACGGGTCTGGTGGGGACAGGCCACCGCCCGCTGCTGCCCTCGTCCCTCCCGACAGCCCCGTCGTCAGACCCTCTCTGCTGTAACAACCTCGGCTCCAGGACGGAGCTGCGTTCTGCTTCTGGCAACAGTGGCGGGTGTTGGGGTCACCCCCTCCCCCCGGGGAGGTGAATTTTCTAAGAACGAGCCCACGTCCCGTTACTTAGCTGGAGGCTTCCGCGAGTCATTGGAATCACAGGTAAAAGTTTTACATCGACGATGGGCATCCAAAAAATTTAAAAAATTTGCCTTACAATCTTCCGGAACTTGGAAGAATTGCCCCGAGTCCCGTAAGGGCTTTGTCGGTTTCCTCGCTGCCTTCTTCCCTCTAACGGGGTGATCAGACGAACCCCGTCGTCCACACTTCGTGCCAAATAGGCGGTGCCACATCCTAAGGGTCCTGGGGTGGCCCCGACGTGACGGCGAGCTTGCAGACTCAGAGAGCAGCGAGTCCCCGAGCGCCCGCTTCTCAAAGCCTTAGCCGGCCTCAGAGCCCAGCTCCGCCGCCGTCTGCCCGGACGTCACCACCATCTGGGACGTGCGTGCGCCGTCACTAGCGCCAGGTGCTCGGCCCTTATGGGACCCGTCTCCCCCGTGGGCTGTGAGCCCCTGGAGCCGAGACCCGCCCCATGCCACAGGCACGGCTCCCGCTCCGGGCTCCCGCGTCGACGCTTTGAGAAGGAAGCTCGGGGGTGCGGAAAACAGCGTCCGCAGGAACGAGCTCCCAGGTCCTGGCCGGAGAAGCTCTGGTTCACATGCGAGGCAGAATGACCCAGCCCTGAGAAGAGGTGAAATCCTGCCATCGCGACAGCGTGGAGGGACCTCGAAATAAGCCAGACTGAAAAAGCCAAAAACCACATGATGTCACATGTGGGATATAAACTTAAAAGCAACGAACGAACAGGACAAACACACAGAGACTCGTGGACGTGGACAATAGACCAGCGGTTACCGGGGGTAGGGGGGAGGGAGACGGGGTGAAAGGTCGAATAGGTGGTGACAGAATCTGACTATGGGCAGTGGACACACAATGCAATATCCATATGCCTTGCTGGTAACAGGGAAAAAAAGTGATTTTGTCGTTTCCACCTGCTCTTACTAAACGGGGGGACGCCTGTCCTGCAGGACGGCTGGTAGCTGAACGCCGGGCACCCTCCGGCACGAGGTCACGTTCGGGTGGGTGCGCAGGGGACG